CACAAAAGAATCCCCAGGGAACTCACCCAAGGAAGGTGAGGAGGCCTGGTCAGTGGCAGTAAAGGAGAATGGAGCCATCCTCATGTCCACAGACTGCACAGGAGGGCCTGGCAGGGGACTGAGGACCCCACCTGGGAAGGAAATTGACATGGGTGACGTCAAGTACATGCAATGAGGAGCTCAGGTCTAGAACCATCTAGAGCCCTTGGGCTGGAAGCTCACATCTGAGAGGCAAGGCCCTGAGGTCCAATAAAGGCTGAGATGATAGCAGCTCCAATGTATGGAGCCCTGACTGTCCCTGGCACTGTGTAATATACAGAATGTCTCCAGGGAGTGGGACAGTTATTAGCCAGGTGAAGAAACTGAAGCCCAGGGACAAGGAGTGACCAAGATTGTACACTTAGTGCAAAGGCTGGGGTGCAAACCCAGGAGGTGTGGACCTCTCCCACCCTGTCCTGTCTCTGGGCCCCTTTAGGGCACAAGCCATCCTGAGTCTACCCCATTCTCTTCCTGGTGGCCTCTGTGTTCCCTCTCCAAGCCCCAGACCTGGTGGCTGGTGGGGGTTCCTCTCCCCTCAACAATTCTGTCCTGTCATGGTGGTGGTTGGGTTCCTGAAACGAGTCGATGCTCCTGGGGATTGGCATCCAACTGACTCCACTTTGCAGAGGTGTAGGGGAGTACACAGGGCAGAGAAGCCCGGAGCAGCTGACGAGCTGAACACCTGGCCACCTTCCAGGCTCCATGGGGAGACAGCAGAGTACCATGTGCCCTCTGTCCTGTCCGTCCATCCTTCCCCCCTCTCCATGTTTTACCTGTAAGATCCTCAGGTTGGCTTTTTTCTCTCAGCACAAATGAGATCCTGGTGTTTAACCTTGAAATGTGAGCCCTCCCAACTACCCGTGGGGAAAAATTCTCAATAAGAAAAAGAATGGTTCCTCCTTTTCCCACACCTGCAGAAAAAAAGACTCCAATCCCTGGACCTGCGGGTGTTATCTCTCCAATGTAGGCTTATAAAGCACCCAGATTCAGAGACTTGCTGTAACCAGGGACAACGAGCTTTTAGCCTCTAAACTTGTGTTGCTCTCATTAATCTCCTCACCCAGCAACCTGCAGCCCTGCTAATAACCTTCCTGAGTTGTTTTCTGAAAATGATCGATACCTGAGTCTCGTACAAGGTCTGAGGATACCAATGGTTTGGCCACTTTTCCCATAGAAGTGCAGCAAAAAGCGAACCCAGGGATTCTTGAACTGTTTGAGAGTCGGATCCTGCCTCAGTCAGGACTGTCATCAGGGGGAGGGCTCACGGGGCACTTGGCCAGGAGAATTCCCGATGCCCTGAGTCCACAGAATGTCAACACACTGGTAAGAGTGACACTAACCAATAACATGGCTGCCATTTGTCAGACACTCTGCATTCTTGTCCTAAACCCTCACACCAATCCTATGAGGCAGATACTAGAATCCCAATCATATGGGCAACAAAACCCAAAGCCTTAGTATATTTTCTGTCACTCTAAGTGAATGCCTGAGACTTGGAACTTTAAAAAGAAATTTACTTCTTACAGTTCTGGAGACTGGGAAGCCCACCCTCATGACTCCACATAGACCTTACGTAGTCCTCACTACCTCCAAGGCCCCCCCTCCAAATACACTAACATGACTTGGGGTTTTCAGCATATAACTTGGGGATCTAACTATAGTGCCCAGGAGTAGAGTTTGCAATATTTCCTTGTCATCCAGCTGGTAAGGAGCACAGCCACTTGTTGATGCATACATTCTTTTTCTACTTTTGACCTCAGCTCAGTGTCAGACTGCAATCCTACCCATGCTTACAAGGGTGTCTTCCCCACATGTTGGTGACGGCTCCCAGGGCGAGCCAGGGTTGGGAGAGGTCTTCAGCACAGCCCTCCTCCAGCCACGGGATGCTCCCTTACTATAAGCCAGGTCTTTCTGAAGCCCTTAGGAGGAAGGAATGTTGGATGGTGTGCATGGGGGGTGGGAGGAAGGACCTGCTCTCTGTGTCACCCCTTTCCTGATGTAGTGTTCTGGGCCTTGGAGATCACTCCGTCCAGCCCTCTCACTTGCAGTTCAGTGAGTGGATCTGGAGCCCAGGTTGACTCAACTCCATGCCCAGATCCCCTCCTCGTGTGTGGCTCTCCCTTGCCCCTCTCTCCGGGCACCCAGACTCTGCTCTCTGCCTTCAAAGCACAGCTGGGACCCTCCCCTCACACTTCTGTGACCTAGGGGTGCTTTGCCAAGCCGCGAGCAGAAGTCATCCTGCCTCCAGATCACCAGGCTACGACACCAAGTGGGAGAGGAGTGGGGGCTTCCCGCCTCTGAATACAGGCAGGCTCTGCGCTCCCGACAGCCGGCTAGAGTGCGCGCGTGGTGTGCGGCTCCTGTCTGAACCCTGTCTCTACCTCCCTGTTGTAGCTGGTTCCCTAGGCAACAGACCCCCAGGCAACCACTGAACGCTGCACTTTTTGAGGTCTGCCATCCAAGGGGGTGAGGCACAGGAACAGGAGGGAGCAGGGAAGCTGGGGTGTTAACTATGCGGGCCCTTCTTCCCAGCAAGCCAAGGAGACTCGCCTGCAGGCAGCGCTGAGCAGGGTAGCTTTGGACAGGGCAGAAATCTACCCCAGATAGCAGGTGGGAAGGAGGAGGAAGGGGCATTTACTTGCCCATCTCACCCCTCCCCCAGGCCTGCTCCTCACTGGCCCAGGTACCCTACTGGGGTTTCACTTTCGGGTGGCTGAGCTCAGCCCTTTCTGAAGCTTCTTGAGAAGTAGATCCCATGCCTACCTGTGGCGTCACAGCCAAGTCCAAAGTCGTGGAAGAAACTAGCACCTTGGGGCCTAAGCCATTGGTTTCAGCTCTGAGCAGCAGCACCTGGGAAGATGAACCACACCCTCCTGGACAAGCAACTGACCGTCCCCGGGTGGAGGGACCCTGTGGGCCTGAGCAATCAGCTGACAGCAACTGGCTGCGGGGGCAGAGCAGGCCACTGAGGGTCCAGGAAATTATGACACTGAGCAACTGGAAGGTAGAGAGAGAGAGAGAGAGAGAGAGAGAGAGAGAGAGAGAGAGAGAATGTGTGTGTGTAAGCCGTTCTCCGTTCCCAAGATGGGCAGCCAACAGTCGGAGAGTCCTTTCTAAGGTGGTGGCAGTGATGACCTCCCATGCAACAGTGAGCAAGAGGATCTGTGGAATGAGCCACAGGTGCAACGATGATGGGTATTTGTCACCTCCTTCCCCTGTTACCCATCTATGTTCCTCTGACCCGCAGCTGGCACTCCATCGGTCTGGGCTGTCTGCCTATTGGGCTGACCCAGACCTCCCATCCCCGAAGGGTATAAGCCCTTAGGTTCCCTGGCTCTTTGGGGGGTTTGGGTTGCTTTAATTGCCTATTGACTGTTATTAGGGGTCATGAAAGTACCAAGAAATGGCCCAGTGACCCCATTGGTTGTGGACAGAGGCCTCCCTGTCCCTGTTGTTTTGCAACAACCTAGCCCCTCCCCCTATATAATCAGGGTCAGGCACCCCAGTCTTTGCTGATCCATGAGCATGAGAATCCAGAGTGGTCAGGGGGCTGGTCACAGTTTCACTGCCACGGGAGCTTTGCTGAGTCTAGTTGCAGAGAGGCTTCCTCTGGCCCAACCTACAACCATGTCTCTCAAAGTCCATGTGTTAAAATCACAACTCCCAAGACTGCAGGGTATGAACTTTTTTGGAGACTGAGTCTTCAGAGAGGTAATAAAGTTCCAAATGAGGTCCTTGTGGTGGGTGGTTATCCAACATGACTGACATCCCCATAAAAACAAGGAAGTTTGGGCACAGACACAAGAAAACCATGTGAAATGACGATGGAGATCAGGGTGATATGTTTACAAGCCAAGGAACCCCCCTAATGGCCAGCCAACCCCTAGAGGCTAGGAAGGAGGCCTGGAACACACTTCTCTCATAGGCCTTAGAAGGAGCCAGCCCTAGCTGGGCACGGTGGCACATGCCTGTCATCCCAGAAGGCTGAGGGAAGAGGATCACGAGTTCAAAGCCACCCTCAGCAATGGTGAGGTGCTAACCTACTCAGTGAGCCCCTGTCTCTAAATAAAATACAAAATAGGGATAGGGGTGTGGCTCAGGGGTCCAGTGCCCCTAAGTTCAATCCCCAGTACCCCCCAAAAGAAGGAACCAGCCCTGCTAAAGTGGTGATCCCATTCTTCCAGCCCCCAGATCCGTGACACAGCCCCCTTCTGTCGTTCATGCCACCAAATTCATGGTGGTTGTTACAGCAGCCCCACCAAACCAAGTCAGAGCAGGACCCGAATCTAACAAAATCCAAGATGTCGGGGACAGGAGGCACCAATGTCCCACCAGAGTCACAGGATGAAATAGAAACAAAGCTGCCCCTACTCTCACCACTTGGCTCCCAGATTTGGGGGCTGTTGGAGACAGTATTGCATGTCACCCGTTGCCCACGACATTTGCTATAGTGGAGGACAGTCCCCTCACCCTGGAAGGTGTTATTCCTCACTGGTGCCCTGGCAGAGCCTCCGAAAGGCTGTGCCCCTCTCGTACCCTGTGGGCAGCTTCAGATTGATAGGATCTGTGACTCCCACAGCCTGAGCCCACTTCCCTGAATCCCTTGTTAACTAGTCCTTTGGTCCAAGGAATCTAGGGTACCTGACCCTCCCTGACCACCACACTGGTGGACAGGCTGTTATCAATATAGTGGAATACTGTGGTTTTCCCTGGGAAATCTGTCTAAGCCAGATCCCTATGGACCATGTCAGGGCAGAGAAAAGAAGCACTGACCTCTCCCAGGTCTACACAGTGCGGATGTCCTGTCGCCTGCTGTGTCAAAACAACCGGCTCTTCATCTTCCTTTTATAGGGCTGAAGGGGAGGAAGCAGTCGCCAAATGAATAACCACCTGCCAAGTGGCTGAAGCTGTTCATCTGTTCCAGGGATGATACCAAAGCCTGTGGAGCATCTGGTAATACTGATGGAAGGCCACTATTGTCTGTCCAAATTCAGTTCATATTCAGAGAAAACAAATAGGTGACTTGCGTAGGAATACTATAGGAACTGCCACTCCTACTGGGACAGCTGTGTTTATTTCTGAATTTTTCCTTCTCTCTTGACCAAAAGTTAGCTTCTGGGCTTCTTTTGGCAGGAGGTTCCTCTCAGACCTTCTTACATAATGGGTCTTAGAGGCCAATGAGCAGATACATTCGTAGGTCTATGGTACATCTAGAATTCAGGACAAAGCCCCTATCCCTTGGTCTCTATGAAATGCACTTGGTCCTGAGGCCCATATAGAGTTTCAGGTCCCCAGTGTGGGTATCAACTCAGATTCATATCTAGCAGTTTTGAGAAGGCTGGACATTTCTTCATTCCTGGTCCATAGATGGTTGACGAATGGCCAGAATTCTTTGGGAAAAGACTAGAGGACTTTACTGAGGACACTTGTGGGTGAATTGCAGAGTTTTCTCTGGAGGAACCAGCGGCCCCTTTAGCCAATGGGCTTTAGATCTGGGAGCTAAATGAGGGGCTGCAATGTCCCATCACTGTGGCTGATTTTCTGATTCTACAAATCAGGCAACAGCCTAAGTAGCTTCCCATCTATTTGACCCCAGAAGGACTATGACCTATGTCATAGACCCTGTCATAGATGAGGGTCAGGGTACCCCTGATGGTCTCTCTTGCCTTCTTGTCCACTATGGTAATTCCACACACCTAGGTCTGATGGTGAAGTGTGGTTCCTCCCAATCTGGTAGTCCACAGTGCCCACTGGCATTAGGAAGCCCGGTCTCACAGTGGCCTATCCTGCCTTTGGCATTGACCTGTCTCCAGAAGACAACCACCATGCTATTTTTGTGTCTAAAGAAAAACCTCACTATTTAAAACAACAGAAATTTCTTCACACAGTTTTAAAATCTAGAGTCCAAAATTGAGGGGCCAGCAGGGCCGTGCTCCCTCAGAAGGCTCTAGAGAAGCTCCTCAGCCTCTCCTGGTGCTGGTGGTGGAAGCTACCTTCATGTTCCTTGGCCATCGTAGCTATGCCTGCCTCCACCTCCAGGTGGTGTCTTCCCTGAGTGCAGGTGTCTCTCTGCCTGTATCTCCAAATCTCCTTCTCCCCATAAGGATACCAGCCACTGGCTTTAGAACCCACCCCAACCCACCCGACCTCAGGTTGACTGGATTTCCTCTGCAAAGACCATATTTCCAAATAAGAATGTGTTCGTAGGAATAAGGCCAAGAGCTCAACATATATTTTTGGAAGAAGCAATTCTACCTACAAGACAGGCACCCTTTACAAGGCACTCCTTGTGTCCTGAATGAAGAGAATGTCCCCTGGGCCCTCCCGGGAGACATAACCAGGTGTCACTTCTCAGGCATTCTAACTTTGCTTTCCTGAGCACTCTGACTGTTCAGGAAGAGTACTGAATAAGCTCAGGATGTTCTAGCATCTCCACTCCATGCACTATATGCCAGCAGCTTCGAGGAGCCATCTCAAAAAGCTGTTAAGACCAGCTCCTGGTGTCACTGACATTGACATGGGACCAGGGACTGGGCTGGAGAATTTTCCTCTATCCGGCCTCGTTTTCTGCAGCCTCTGCAGCTCAGCACCTCTGCCATCCTGTGCCTACCCAGTACTCTCAGCAGATCCTGCTACTCCTGTGCTGGGCCAGCTGTCTCTTCCCAACGCAGGACACTCCGCTCCCCTCTCAGGCTGTTCAGAGACCTGACTCTGGTGACCAGGTTGGCGGGTTGCACACAGCAAGTGCCCTTTGTGGAGTCCATGCCCCAGGGGAGTGGTAATCAACATGCACAGCCTGTGCCTCCTGAGAACATCTCCAAGAGAGGAGAGGCTGTTCCCATCTGCCAGAGGGAAGGCCAGGAGGTTCAAGGTGCTCAGGTTTGTACACCCAAAGGTCCCTGCCCCAGGTCTTAGGGTATATTCTTTTTCCCATCAAGGCCCTGACTTTAGGATCTCATGGAGGTTTTGTCTTAGTGTCTTGCAACTCAGTTGCCCTTTTTTATCAGATTCTGACCTGATCTCAACATAGTCTGCCCTGCAGTTGCATGAGATGGAGTCTCAAAACTTCCACAGCATCTGTGGCAGGTGGAATATTTCCCTCCTCCCAGAAGCCCTCTCCTAATCCCTGGAACCTGTGAATAGGTAGGTTATATGGCAAAGGGAAATAAAGGCCGTGAATAGAATTAAGGTGGCTAATCAGTGCCCCTTAAATAGAGATAACCCTGGATTATCCAGGTGGGTCCGATGTAATCACAAAGGTCTTTGACAGCAGAGAGAGAGAGGTGGCCAAGGAGACTCAGAGGACACCACACAAGATGGATTCACTGCCCACTGCTGGCTTTGACCACTGAGGAAGGGACATGAGTCAAGGGATGTGGGAACCCTCTAGAAGCTGGAAAAGGCAAGAAACAGATGCTCCCCCAGCTCCTGGGGCATAGCACGACCGTGCCAGCACCTTGGTCTTAGCTAAGTGAGACCCAGTCAGAATCTTGATCCACAGAACCAACACTGCCAATGTGGGTTAATCTAACCCATGCAGTGGGCAATGGCTCACTACAGAAACAGGAAAGTATCACACGGTGGCCTGAGAGCCGCTTCCTGCAGCCTGATCATTCTGTTTGGAAGATCTCTACAGAGATCAAGGAGCCACGCTACACCATGTTTTTTTTAATTATCATTATCCCTAGCACCTTGGTACCTTGAACCCCCCATGTTCATGTTCCACCCGCCCCTCATTTTGCAGGTGGAGCAGCAAAAATTATGGCATCCCTGAATGCTAGGCATTATCCCATCCTACTTACTACTCACAGTGGGGACCCTATTGCCGTCAGACACATGGGAAATGCAACTTCAAAATTCCATCCAAACCCACTTCTGCTTCAATTACTATACCCCGAGTCCCTTGGAATCTCACGCCTCAAGGAGTGGTCTTCAGACCATCGTAGGCATCTCCAGAGAGCTAGTTAGCCACACAGGACTCTAAGCTCCACCCCAGGTACACTGAGCCCCCAGTTGCACATTTGAGCAGGAGTCCTGGGTGACTCATATACACATTAAGACTCGAGACCCACACAGCAGCAAAACACAACCCAAGGGTTACAGTCTAATTTGGGGGGATGGGGGAATATGCATCCAGGCAGCAGGAGGGAGGGAAAGAGAGTGAGGCAGAGGGCGATGGGAATAGTTCAAGCTGATGCATCTCTCTGCCGGCCTCTGCTTCATGGCAAGCTGTAAAGAGACAGCTGGTGGCTCAGCACATGTGCCGCTCATCCATCCTTCACATCCCTGGACACGGTACACAGTGAATGTTCCATCTCCTAATTCTCATAGGTCAAAGTAGGAATTAAGTGATTCCCTGCACTTCCAAGCTGCATCCTTCAGCCCCGTGGACAGCACCTGGGAAGCCCATCGCCTGGCATTTACTCAAATTGGGATCAGCTGAGACTCAGGGTATGTAGCTGGGCAGCAGACCGGGTAGCAGAATCTCAAGGGGGTAATGGGGAGGGGTCCAGCCTTCCTGTCCCCTCTGGCCCAAGGGGGAGGGCTGGCAGACCCAAGTGGAACAGGTTCAACCCCCTCCCCCGGAACACGTTGGATCATCCCAGCCAGGCAAGACCCCCTGATTCAGACCTCATCGGCCCCTTCCCCTTTTGTTCATGCGTATGTTGGGAGCATTTGCCAAGGACTGGCAGGCAGACTAAGAGGACCATCCCATTTTTTGTTTGGTTGATGGTTGTTTCTGCAAGATGAGGGAGAATTCTCTCCTGCAGGACTAGTGTGGGGCTGGGAAACAGCCTGCAAATTAAAGATGGCCTCAGTACCCTTTCTCCTCACCTGAGAAACCCCTAGAAATCCCTGAGGACATGAGGGAGGGCCTATCATTCCAGAGGAATCCCTGGTTCCTGGAGAAAGACAGAAAACTGTGGCCTTGGGAATCCTGGGGAAAGGACTTGACCTTGCGAAGCCCAGTTTCCTCCTCTGTGATAAGGGGCAATGCCAGGTAGCCATTAGGCAGCTGCAAGAAGAAATAACATGGGTCAGGGAATGTTTCCAGGTTCTGCCCGAGTCTGCCCCACAGACTGATCACACTGAGCTCGCTCTCCACAAAAGGCTCTTTCAAAAGAGGCAGAGGCCTCGCTCTAGTAGACAGAGCTGCTGGTGGTACCATGGCCTGGTCTCCCTGCTCTTCTGCCCATCTGAAGCAGGTGCCAAAAGCCACAGATGCTCATACATAAAGTCCTTTTTAATAGTGATGGACAGAACCTACCCATATTCTCCCAGATATTCAGCCATCTCTAGATGGCTTAGAGACCCTAATACAATGTAAATGCCATGTAAACAGCATTATGTGTAGGGAGCTGAGGCGAGGAACACAGCTATACATGCTCAATTTTGTTCTGAGTATTTCTGATCTGCGGGTAGTTGGAACTGTGGACACCAAGAGCTGACTGTGCCTGCTGGCTACTGAGGACAACTGTCAAAGTGCATATGGCTGGTGACAGCTGCATGAGCAGTGACACACACAGACACACAGACCTTGGCCCCAGACCTGACTGAGCTGGGTCCCAACCAAGGTGTTCACCAGGGAACAGAGATGCCTGTGTCTCCAGCATTGAGCTAACAGGAAGAACGTGTCCTGCTGAGGGTCCCAGCCTCAGTGTAGCTCGGCTTCCCACCTCCCACGGACACCCCCAGGGTCAGCCTCTCCAACACCCAGACACAAGGGCACTCCTCCCATGTCTGCTGCTGTGTTAGAAGCTAGAGCTGCAGCAGCAGCCAGAACCATCAAGGGTCTCAGGTTTGCATCTCCAATGAGGGCTCAGTGACTGCTGTTGACTCACCCACTAGAAAGGGACTCCAAGTTACCCAGGCTCGGCTGTTTGTATTCCTTAAGAGGACAACATTTATTAATGGAGAGAACTAAAACATCTGGTGAACAGAATGGCTGATCAGTGCAAAGTGGAGCACAACTAAAGTGTTGATGATGCCTACCTTCCCCACCACAAGAAAATTAATCCAGGCAGGCTCCGAGGAGACCTCCCGCTTACACCCTGAATCACCCTGAGATTTAGGCTGCAGAATGGAAAGCCTCGTGCTGGAACTAACGCATCAAAGATACAGACATGTGCCATTTACCAACCAGGACACGCCCTGAGAAACTCACCATCAGAGCTTCCCACCATTGTGTGGCCACCAGGAAGGATAGCTGTACACACCTGATGGCCACGTGATCACTGGACATGCCCTCTTGGCGCAAGAGGGATGTGGGTTGAGGCCAGGCCCAGGAGGCTGCTGGGGTTTCGCTGTGTACTGCTTTGCAATGAACTGTTTTTCTTTTCTAAGTAGAACACTCTTACGTAATGACAAAAGCAAAGCACAGTAAACGTATCAGCCAGTAACATAGTCACATATCGGCATTTTCAAGTATTATGCATGGTACCAGTGGTAGGCACTACACTTTCATGTGACTGGCAGTGCAGTGGGTTTGTTTACAAACACAGGTGGCATTCATTGTGCTGTGTGACTACAGTTGTGTAACATCACAAGGTGATCAGAATTTTTCAGACCCATTATAATCTCTAGGGACCACCATCCTACATAAGGTACATCATTCACAGAAACATCCTCATGTGGCACATGACTACCTTCAATATGAAGCAATCGTTAATTTGTTCTCCCAGGTGCAGTGTCCCCATGGTGAGGAACACACTCGCCACTGGACGGCCACATTGTAGGCTGAGAAGTCAAACACGGTGGGGGACGAGACCAGAAGCAAGTTTCAGGGTGGGGTGATGAGGGTCTGGGAAAGGAAGGGACCACCCCCAAAAATAAACTCCCTATACCTCAGGGTTCTTACCAGAAGTAAGCTCTAGAAGGAAGAGTGTGGGATTGGGGGTAAAGGAAATTGTCCCCTCTGCAGGGCTGGGCAGGGAATTTAGAGGCTTCTCCTGTCCACTGGAGCCAGGAGAGAGTCTAGAAAAGGCAGGCATTGACGTTCACTAAGCCCACAGAGTAGGTGCCATTGTGGAAGGCTTCAATATGATTAATAAAATATTAATGCATTTTCTTAAAGTTTTATAATCAAAAACTCTTATAAGAATTAATAACCCTAACTCTTATAATGATAAGCCCAACTAACGAACCATATTGTTTTTCTTAGATGCCCCACTTGAGGATTTCTCTCACTGGAGTCAATTAGAGTTGCAGAGTTATTTCATAGTTCCTTTTGAAATTGGGTGAGGGGTTCAGGCTGTGCCCAGCACAGTGTAAGACCTAAATAAACACTGATTCTCATTATTTTATTGATAGCTAGTGATACTGACCACTTGATGATGATCCATTTCTAGAACTTACATGGAATTTAAATTGTCAAAAAGAAGAATAAAAGCAGCAGGAGCAGAAATGTGGACTGAACAGAAGGGGAAGGGAAATTTAAAACCCCCAGAGGCTGCACGACAGCATGGCAAGAGAGACAGCACCCCCAACGCCTGCCACCAGGCCCCACGGCCAGTGGAGGGGAAGTTTCTCCTCTGCAGGGTGAAGGGTGAGAGAGTCCCCGCAAACGCCATCAGAGCAGACGCTGCCAGCCTAGCCACAGTCCTTGCTTTACAGCCTAAAGGGAGAACAAACCTGAAATCTGCCCAGTAATCCAAGTTTGGAAAAAAAAGGACTCCTTTCATCTCCCTGAGAACCCCCAGGCTGCATCTTGGGAAGGGACATGCTGTCTGAATTTGGACTGCTCTAGGGATCAGGAACCCCTGCGTGTCCTGATGGTCCTCTGTGCTGGCTCAGCAGGCGGCTGTCTCAGAAGCCAGACTTGTCTTGGTGGAGTGACTCTGACAAACCCGCGGAGAGTGCTACATGATGAGGAGCTGCCTCTGAGATTCAGAGTGCTGGGGGCTGTCCACAAGAACCAGGGCATGGGGAGCCTGGCCTCCGAGATGTGTGTGGCTTCACGGGTGCCCTGTCTATGGGCAGCTGCCTGCGTGGTTCCCACCACTCCTCTCCCAGACCCACACATGGGTGCCTGACACTAACAAAGTGGCAAACACCCCAGAGGTGTGTTAGGACAGTTTTGAGCAATGCCACCCGGGTTCTGGTTGTTGCCCCTCCCCTGGGCACATATGAAGGTCTGGAGAGAAACTTTGTGTGGTGCCAGCTGTGTTCTGCTCCCCCTCACTTCTGGGAACACCTCAGCTAAGAGGAATCTTATGCAGCTACAGCTTTGACTCACCCACACTCAATCCCTGGTGGGCACGACAGATACAAGAATCAAGGGGAGAAGAGCCCCTGGCATCCCCAGGTATGAACGCTGGGGAAAGTCTGAGGTCCCAGGGGCTGAGAGGAATAACACAACTCTTGCTTCCACAGCACCTATGTGGGTCCCCTGCATGGGTCACCCTGCACCTTGCCTGACACCTACAAGACCCGGTGTGAATGCCACAGGGGGGGGGGGGTGCTGTGATTCCTGCCCCAACCTCTCCCTGTGAAACTCCTGGACCCACACCAGTGTCTAGTCAGAGGACAAGTGCTTCAGGTCCCTTCTCCCTTGTTATGGTTTAGAGATGAGGTGTCCCCCAAAGTTCATGTGTTCGACAATGAAAGAGTGTTCAGAGATAAAATGATTAGGTTATGAGAATTGTAACCTAATTAGTGGATTAGTCCACTGATATGGATTAACTGGGTGGTAACTGGAGGCATATTGGGTGTGACTGGAAGGAGTAAATCACTGGGGACATGACTTTGGAGTTCATGTTGCAAGTCTCTGGTGAGAGGGTCCCTGTCTCTGCTTCCCAGGTGCCATGTCCTGAGGAGCTGTTTTCTCTGCCATGCCCTTGTGCCATGATGGGGTGCCTCACTCAGGCCCAGAGCACCATGGACTGAACCCCTGAAACCATGACCCCTAAACCAACTTCTCCTCCTCTACATTGTTCTTGTCAGTTCTTTTGGTCACAGAAATGCAAAGCTAGTACCAAGGACACATTCAAATATCAGAGCATTACCAACAGTGCCAGAGGAAACCCTCATCACCCAATGGGCCACTCCTCACATCCTAGGAGTAGCCACACAGGATACAGTCCACACACCTTACTGTATATACCACACCTGCCTGAACTGCTATAATGTCCTCACTCTTATGTGACCTGCAGAAACGGTGGGTCTCTCAAACTCTGATATGGTATACATTGGGCCCAAACTACTAATCATTGATGAAGAAGATACAGGGAGGTTACACTATGGAATCCAGCTGAAAATAAACTCAATGTCACATAACGAACCAATATGCCAAGATATATCTTTAAGATGAAGTGGTTTACTAAGAAAATAATCCCATAAAAGTGGTAGAGATATCATTCCCACCAAGGTGCCGATCAACCTAGGAACACAAGAGGGAAAAAGAGATAATATGACATCTTCTAAAGAGAAAACTCTCTAGTAACAGATTCTTGAATTCTTCTAATAAATAATTCAAAAGAATGATTTTTGAAAAGCTCGATAAGATCCATTAGACTATAGATAAACAGTTAAATGAAATTAGGAGGACAATGCAAGATACAAATGAGAAATTTACCAAAGAAAAGAGATTCTGAAGAAGAATTCATCAAAAATCTTGGCAACAGATAGCTTAATAAGCCAGATTAAAAAATTCAGTGGAAAGCCTTGACAACAGACTAGATTATGTGGAAGAAATAATACCAGAGCTTGAAAATAAATCTTTTAAAATATCACATTCTGACAGAAATAAAGAAAAAAATAAGAAAGGAATAGCATGCTAAATCTTTAGGTCATAATAAACGATCAATATCCACAATATCAGCTTACACAAAGGGGGAAAATATAGTTTAAGGACATAGAATACCTATTCAATGAAATAATAATGGTGAACTTCCATTAACTTGGAAAGACATGGACACTCAGGTAGAGGAGATCTATAGAATTCCAAATAGATGTGAACAGAAAAGAAAGAATTTTAAAATTCACAAGAGAAAAGCACCAAGCCATATTTAAGGGCAACCCCATAGACTAACATATTTCTAGGCAGAAGTCCTATAGCCAGGAGGGGGGCCTGGCATGATGTATGTGAATTCCTGAAAGAAAATAACTGCCCTAAGTTTACTACACCCAGTAAGTGTAGTAATCAAAGATGAAATGAAATCTTTCCAAGATAGGCCAATCTAAGGGAATTCTTGACCACCAGGTCAGCATTACAACAGGTGTTTAAGGGAGTCCTACACCAGAAAGGGAAGAAAGATCATCAAGATAGCATGTGAAAGTATAAATTCCATAGGGGAGTAGATATACACACAAAAACAAGAAAAGAATCAAACACTATCAATACAGTAAGCCATCAGACCATAAAGATGAATAAAAGAAAAAGAAAGAATATTCAAAATAACAAGAAATTTAAAAATTATAGGCACAAGTCCTTATATTATATTAATAACTGAATGTAAGTAATATAAATTCTCCAGTTAAAAAGATATAGACTGACTGGAAGGACTTAAAAAGAAGATCCAACAATATACTGCCTACAAGAAACTCACCTCACTAGTAAGGACACAGAAACAAAGTTAAAGGATGGAAAATGATATTCCCAGCAAATGGAATCTGAAAACAAGCAGAAATAGCTATGTTTATGTCTGAAAAAGTAGACTTTACAACAAAAATCTAAGAAGAGACAAAGAAGGTCACTACAAAATGATTAAGAAGTCAATTGATCAAGAAGATATAATGATTATATGTTCCTATTATTGGAACCTCCAACTTAATAAAATACACACTATTAGACATAAAGGGAGAGATAGGCCCCAGTACAATGTAATGGGGTATTTAGATACCCTTCTCCCATCAATGGATATATCATCCAAAAAGTCAACAAAGAAATATAAGAGTTTAACTGACCATTAATAGAATGTTCCATCCAAAAGCTTCAGAACATCCATTATTTTCATCAGCACATGGAACTTTCTTTAAGCAGATCACATATTTGACCACAAACAAGTCTTATCATATTCAAAACAATTGAAATCATAATTCTGATCTCAATGGAATGAAACTAGAAATCAACAGCAAGAGAAACTTCTGAAATTATATAAATACATGGAGACTGAACAACACACTTATGAACAGTGGTCATTGAGAAAGTCAGAAGGAAAATTTTAAAATTCCTTGAAACAAATGAAATGGAAAAATACAAAAACCCAAGGAATACAGAAAAAGCAGTACTAAGTGGGAAGTCTGTACCAATAACTGTCTATATCAAAAAGGAAAGATTTAAAATAAACAAACTAATGATACTTCTTTAGGTTGTAGAAAAGTATGAACAAATCATACCCCAAATTAATAGGAAGAATAATAAAGATCAGAGAAGAAATGAATAAAATAGATCTAAGAAAACCATAGAAAGGATCAATGAAACAGAGTTGGTTACTTGAGAAGATAAAGAAAACTGACAAACCTTTAACTAGATTAAATAACAGAAAGAGAAGGGGTGAGAGAGACAAAGACCCAAGTAAATAAAATTAGAGATGAGAGAGGAGACATCACAACCAATACTAAAGGAATTTAAAGGATCATTTGGAATTATTTTGAAAAACTATATGCTAACACATTGGAAAATCTTGAAGAAATGGACAAATTTCTGGATGCATAAGATCTACCAAAATTGAACAAAAAAAGATTTTAAAAAGCTGAATAGACCAAAAATGAGTAAAAAAGTTGAGTCAGTAATTTAAGAAAAGATAAAGCTTCCCAACAAAGAAAAGCCTGGGAATTAACAGCTTCACTTCTGACTTTTTATCAAATTTTTAAAGAAATAACACCAATGCTTCTCAAATTATTCAATAGCATTGAAAGGGAAAAAACCCTTCCACATTCACTCTATAAGGTCAAAATTACTCCATTACCAAAACCTGACAAATACACAACATAATGAAGAAAATCATAGACTAATATCCTTCATGAATATAACTATAAAACTTTTCAATGAAATACTCACAAATAAAATTCAACAGCACATCAAACAGAGCACAGACCATGATCAAGTTGGTTTAATTCCAGGAATACAAGGATGATTCAACATATAAGTCAATAAACATAATATACCACATCAATAGAATGAAGGATTAAAAAATTATTTGTTCATCTCAATAGATGCAGAAAAAGTATTTTGAAAACATTCCATATTCCCTTCAGGGTAAGAACCCTGAACAAATGATGTATTGGAAGGTCACACCACGGCATATAAACATACATGACAACCCATAGCCAGCATCATACTGAATGAAGAAAACCTGAATGTATTTTTTTTAAGATCATGAACAAGACAAGGGTGTCCATTCTTACCACTGTTATTCAATATAGCACTAGAAATTTTAGCCAGAGTAACTAGGCAAGGGAAAAAATTAAAAGGATTACAAATAGGAAAGCAGGAAGTCAAATTATTCCTGTTTGCAAATGCCATGATCCTATACATAGAAAGACCTAAAAGACTCCACCAAAGACTATTAGAACTGATAAACAAATTCAGAAACAGCAGGATGGGAAATCAACATAAAAACAGTAGCTTTTTCTTTTTCTTTTTCTTTTTTTTTAGAAAGAGAGAGAAAATTTTTAATATTTATTTTTTAGTTTTCGGCACAACATCTTTGTTTGTATGTGGTGCTGACGATCGAACCCGGGCCGCACACATGCCAGGCGAGTGCGCAACCGCTTGAGCCACATCCCCAGCCCCAAAACAGTAGCTTTTTCTTTAGCAATATTGAATTTGCTAAGAAAGAAATCATGAAAGCAGTTGTATTCACAGTAGCAGAAAAAAAAAAAAAAAATGGAATAAACTAAGGAGATAAAATAAGTTTAACCCTGAAGAAAGAAACCAAAGGAGATACTAGAAAATGGAAAGGTGTCCCATGTTCATGGATTGGGAGAATTAACATTCTCCAGGTGGCCATACTACTCAAAGCGATCTACAATTCCAGTGCGGTCCCCATGCAAATACCAAAGACATCTTCACAAAACTAGAAAAAACAATCTTAAAATCCACCTGGAAGCACAAAAGACTCCAGATAGCCAAAGCAATCTTCAGCCAAAAGCTAAGCTGGTGGCACCACAAGACCTGATTGAAGACGTACTGCAGAGCCCTCGTGGCAGAGGCAGCATGGAATTGGCATAAAGGCTCAGAGACCAACGGGACAGAATAGGGAACCCAGAAGTAAACCCATGCCTCCCAGCCAATCCATACTGTGCAAGCAACCGTTTCCCGGGTGAGGCTCCAAGGCACAGGAAACAAAAGCAAAATCTCACAAGTGGGATGGTCTCGAGCTCAAAAGTTTCTGCACAGCAAAGGAAGCAATCGGCAGAGTGAGGAGGCACCTACGGAGTGGGGGAAACCGTGCCCCAGCTCCTCATCTGACAGGGGCCGATGTCCAGGACACACAAAGAGCCAGAAACTGAACCACAAACGCACAAGGAATCCAATTAAAAATGAGCACATGAGCTGGGTGTGGTGGCGCACTTCCGTAATCTCAGCCATCAGGAGGCTGAGGCAGGAGGATCACAAGATCAAGGCCAGCCTGGGCAACTTAGCCAGACCCTATTTCAAAATAAAAAGAGCTGGGGATGTAGCTCAGTGGAAGAGTGCACCTGGGTACAACCCCCAGGACCCCCCACTCCCAAAGAAGGCAAATGAATGAATACACATGTGTATTCATTGGCGTGGGGAATACCAGGGGTTGAACTCAGGGGCATGACCACAGAGCCACATCCCTAGCCCTATTTCGTATTTTACTTAGGGACAGGGTCTCACGGAGTTCTTAGTGCCTCACTTTTGCTGAAGCTGGCTTTGGACTCACTATCTTCCTGCCTCAGCCTCCTGAACTGCTGGGATTAATGCGTGTGCCACCGTGTCCAGCTGAATAGACATTTCTTAAAGAAAAATACAAGGGGCAAATGGCTAATATATGACAGAATGCTCAACATCATTAGCAAACAGGGAATCGCAAATCAGAACTATGAGATACCATCTCACCCCAGTTAGGATCAGGAACAAACACAGGGGTTGGGATTGTGGCTCAGTGGCAGAGCGTTTGCCTTGAATGTGTGAAGCACTGGGTTCAATCCTCAGCACCACATAAAGATAAATAAATAAAGGTATTGTGTCCATCTACAACTATATATATATATATATAAACAAACACAAACAAAAACAAACACCAGTAAGATGTGGAGAGAAAGGCATACTCTAACATTCACAGCTGGTGGGAATGTAAGTTAGTGCAGCCACTGTGGAAAACAGTATGGAGGCCCCTCAAAAAACTAAAATAGAACTGTCATGTGATCCAGCTATCCCACTCCCCAGGCAGGGTATATCCTAAGGAAATGAAGTCAGCATTCAAAAAAGACCTGCACGCCCATGCTTATTGCAGCATTAACCACAATGGCTCAGATATGCAATCAGCCCATGTGCCCATCAAAAGCCGAATGGATAAATATGGCACACAGACACACTGGAGTACTGTTCAGCCATAAAGAAAGAAGAAATCTTTTCATTTGCAGCAAAATGGATGGAACTGGAGGGCATCATGTTAAACAAAATGAGCCCGACACACAGACACAAGTACAGCATGCTTCCGTTCGTATATGGAAACTAGAAAAAAAATATTTTTAGATATTTGTAAAGACTGCCTGAAAGTCTAAGAGGATTACTGGGGTCTGAGAAGGGTGCTGATTGGGGTAGAGAGAAGATGAGGTCAAAAGGATGGATGGGCATGACTGATACCCTATGTGTGCATGAAAATATCACAGCAAATCCCACTAATTGGTACAACTAATATGTGTTCAATGTAATAGGATATAAAGTAAGTTTACTACATGAAAAACAGAAATAGACAAATTACAACTAAATCAAATTCCAGGTGCTGCTTTGAAATGGTACAGACCAGGAAGGGTGTAAGCCCCGACGCTGTGTGAGCACGTGCACGGTCCTGACCCCAGCCCAGACCTGCCACTAGCAGATCTCCTTCATTTATTGCTGAATAAATGAAGGAGGGAATCACAGCCAGCTTTGCTTCAGAGGCATTTCCTAGACTACCTCATGTAATCCTCATAAAATCCATTTCACAGACAAATAGAGACTCCAAGAGTAAAGGACATCATAGGGGTGCAGCGGGGCACGCCTGTAATCCCAGTGACTTGGGGGGCTGACACAGGTGGATCCTAAGTCTAAGGCCAGCCTCAGCAACTTTGTGAGGCTCTGTCTCAAAAAATAAAAAGGGTTGGGGGTGTAGCTCGGTGGGAAAGCAACCCTGGATTCAATCCCCAATACAAAAAAAATCAGTACACGAGATCAAGGCACTCAGACAACACAGCTGCAGGAATAGCATTCAGATCCGTTCTGTCCTGCAGCTACATGGCTGCCTTAGACAGCCCCCCGATTCAAACGTCTCTCACTATGTCCATTGCAGCAGAGAAAAGGTCTTTTTCTCTAAGGCTTGCTTCCTCCTTGAAGTACTCTTGATTGTGGGTACGGGCCAGGCCAGTGTAAATCTCTTGCCCTGTCTCCCACCCTCAAACCTTTAGTGGGCCTTGTAATTTCACGGGTCCCTCTGGTTCCTGCTATTAATGAGAATACCACCAGAGGGCGGTATTGACCTATGTTTCTTTGGGCGCACTCACCAGAAGCCAAAAAGCAGTACACGGAACACCAAGATGCCCTGTGGCTAATGCTTCAGCTAGACTTCCATGAAGCCCACCCTTAGGACATGACCAAAGCTTCCCGAGACAGGGCTCTTATGAATGCTACCACACAGGACAGGAAGTCCAGATAGGAGTCCATTGCTGTGCACAGAGAACTCTATAGGCATGGGTAGAATGGCTCTTTCTTGTCCCCATTTTACAGATGAGGAAACAGAGAGATTAGTCACTAATCCTCTGATTCCCCATCCCAACCTATTTCTACCCTGCCAGGCTCCCAAGAACCTGGGAACGTAGAAGCTATTTGTGTTTCGTGTGTTGAGAGGAGAAAGAGCCTGTGAACTCTATCCAAGGTCCATCAGGAGGGAGGGGAGCAAGGGTCTGGAGCATAGGGCTGCTGTGGCCCACCAGCATGTCCCTTCCCCGGGGGCTGCTGCATCCCTAACGAGAGCTTGTTTTTACTAAGTAAGCATGTACTACGTGCCTGGCATTTGTCTCCTAGGTCATGCTCGGAAGCACTGAGGAAACTGAGGCCACTGGTTACAATAAAGTGTCAAGTGCGTAGGAGCCCCGGGGCCTGGCCTCTCCTGCCTCCTGTGTGATCTGCAGCCAGGTCAGTGGCATCTGCTTTCTGGGTCTCTGATTATTTAAGAACTAAGAAAGTCAACGTCCTTGAAAACCCAAGCAGAGGCACCCCTTCCCCAGGGACACCATGAGATCAGGCCTCTCAAAGAGCAGGATTCTCCACCCCCAAGGTCAAGGTCAGCGGAGATGGGCCTGGTTGGCTGGTCTAGGTGGGGCCTGTCCATCCCCGCTCTGCAGGTCTCAAGCCAGCCGGGCTTCTGGACCTGGCCCTACCAGCAGCTGACTGCAGGGCACACACACTGAGTGTCAGAAGGAGTGACAGGTCTCTCCTCCTTCCTGGGGTTGTCACTCCAAATGGTAAGGTGTCCCAAGGGGAGAGTAAGTGGATGGGATGTTGGGCCTCTGCCCAGGGCCACCTCCCTCATCAGTAGCTGGCCTCTTGTGCCCAGGCCTTCACGGCCAGTCTCTCCCTCCTCACAGCCCTGCCACATCCTGGACTCTGAACGCCACAGACAGCACTTTTCCTTCACAATCCACGGGACAGACGCTGTGTGCACCCCTGTGTTGTAGATAAGCAAGCCCAGGCCTTCCACCATCAAGAAACTTGGCCATGATCACAAAGCTACAAAAGAGCAAAGGAGGGATTTTAACCCAGCTCTGCCCAATCCCAAAGCCCGTGGTGTTTGGGGTTTGCTGTTGGGTTTTTTGTTTTTGTTTTTTGGTGCTGGGTATTGAACCCAGCTGTATCCCCAGTCCTTTTAAATTTTTATTTAAAAGGCCTTTTTTATTTTATAGGCCTTTCTAAGTTGCTGAGGCTAGCCTCCTGCCCCCAGCCTCTTGAGTCACAGGGATTACAGCCACTCCATCTGGCACGAAGCCCATGTTTTCAATGTCCTGAGGCCTCATCCCCAGGACGACAGCATGGGTTCAGGGTATGTGGCCCTTCCTTCAGGGAGGCCTCCCTCTGGACCACAGTCTGTGAACCGCAGCCTCGGCTTTCCCAGACTTTCATTCCTTCATTCCTTCAGGATTCTGTCGTTTCTTCCCCCGAAGTTGAGCAGAGCATGTCTTTTCTCAGATTAGGATTTTCACTCCTGGGAAAACTTGCGTTTTCCTGGGGCCTTTCTGACCATGGCTGCCCGTCACCCACACTGCCTATCCCCCTACCTCCCTTCCACGGTGGTCTCTGTCACACACACACACACCCGCCCCCCAGCCTCAGGCTTCCAGAGGGGATCACTTAACTCACAAGGTAGCAAACTCGGAGTGCGTGATTGTCATAGATAATCACTAATATCCACCGGGAGCCTCTCTGCTATTCGAAATGACGATCCTGCCAGATGCTCACAGCCACACGTGAGGTCAGTCCTGGCCTCACCCCCACTCCACGTGAGAAGCCAGAGGCTGAGGAGGGCTGACCCCTTGCCAAGGTCTCCATGGTGATTCAGGGTTGAGAGGGGATCTGCGGGGGAACCCCCAGCTCAGAGCTGTGTCGGACTCTGCCGTATGGCCTCAGCCTGACACCTCTACATTCATCTCCAAGGACAGAGCCCCTGTGTGCTTGCCTTCTTCATATTCACATCAAACTACAGAAGAACAAGAAAATAGTGCCTAATTCTCCAGCTGGAAATAATAATCGATAGCTTGATATGCACCTATTTCTGGATTTTATATGGATGGATGGATATACACTTTTACTCCTCAAAATGGTGCTGTATTTATATCACTAATTATTCTTGTACGATCTATTTTTCATGGCTGCATAATATTACACCATTTAGATAATACACAATTTATTTAACCAATCTGCTCTTGCTGGACATTTAGGTTGCTTATAGTTTGTCATGGTGATGAACAAGGTCATGTTGGACATCCCTCAGTCAATTCTTTGCACTAAGTCTTTAAGGTGAGCTTTGGGAGTCGGGACCACTGGGCACAGGCTTTGGGGGTGTACTGGTGTGTGCCAATGGGAGTGAGTGCTCTTTGAAAATTCATGTACCCATGCATAGCAAGCCAGGCCTCCTGGCAGAGAGACCCTAAACAAAAACTGCCCCTCTTGTATTACTCTTCTGTGAGAGTACAAAGTTTGCCTTAAGCCTCACCTGCACCAGGACCCTCCAGGGAGGACCCTTCCTTCGCTGTTCATGGTGGGACAGGAAACACCACCCCCCCAACACACACCCAGTTACTTGGAACCCATCCTGAGGGCACCCAGACACTACAAACAAAAATCACCCAGAGGTACTCACTCTGCCATGTGTCCTGACACAGGTGCCCAGGAGAGCAGAGAGGGGCAAATTCCTTGGGAAGCACACCTCTCCCACCTCAAAGAAATACAGAATCTAGAGGAAGTGGGCCGAAGATGAGTGGGAAACAGGAAGCAGAGGCCGGAAAGCAGGAGGGAGGGAGTGGTAGCCCAGGAGGCTGGCTCCAACTTCCCCCAACCTTCTGATCACAGAGCCACGTTTCAGCTGTTACTGGAAGCTCCTCAGGGCACAGCTACCCACCCTCAGAGAAGGGAGACCACCACCCACTCCTCACGCTGAGGGCCTGCTGGGGGAGGGAAGGGAGGCTGGGACAAACTCAGGTGGCTAACAGAGCCCAGAGAGGAGAGGAGCTGGCCCTGACTGAGCCACAGGGCAGCCGCCCAGGGTTGTGGCTCCTGCCTCTGGGGCCCTGAGGGAGGGCAAGGCATGGGCAGTCAGGCACCCTCCATGCCAGGGGCCTCTGTGCAGCATCTTGAAAGAACTGCAGATCAGAGGGTCAGACGTGGAGCTGGGGAGCCTGCTTTGCCCTGAAGCTGGAAAGAAACCTGAACTTGGAAGTTCTCTCATTTCTCCCTAGAGGGCAATTCCCACTCTCTCCTGCTTTTGATGTTATTTTTAAGCGCTCTGCTGCTCCTCGGGGTGAATCCCTAGGCCATGTCCACTGCAGCTCCTCTCTGCCTACCTGGGGAGGGGGGTGTTGAGCACTAACTCTGAGCAGGCTCCAGAAGCCAGGTGCCTCTCCACTCTCGGGGCAGCCTATCCTGGCCACTCCAGCCGGTGTGTCTCCCCTTCCAAAGACCAAGACTCGTGGGTCTTCTGATGGGGTCAGTCATCCAACAGGGCAGGGGCTGTTGATCAGAGATGAGACCAGGAGAGAGAAGCCGAGGAAGACGGGCTGCACGGAGGTGAGACAGAGTGGAAGGAGCTAGAAGAACCAGAAACAGAGAGAGGAGGAGGAGGAGGAGGGGTGGCCTGTGGCTCCAGCAGCCCAGCCTAGGAAGAAATCAAGTCCGGGGAGGGGGACGGAAGAGAGAGATGAGACACAGATAAGAGTGTGACAGACACCAGGGATAAGATGTAGAGGGGACAGGAGGCAAAGAGAGAAGGAACCCTGGAAGAAAGGGAAAGAAAGGATCTGTCCATTTCAATGTCACTCTAATAAGCTGTCCCGGTGTGTCCTTAGTGCCTGAGGCCAGGCTGGCCGGGAGCAGGGAGGCGGGCCTCAGGGACCTGCCGCAGGTGGCCGCCCCTGGGTGGGGCCGCCGAGCCCTGCGGGTATAAGTCGGAGGCTGGGCCCCCGAGCACCTGGCAGGGGCAGCTCACCGGTGCGCGCAGGTGCCAGGCAGGTGGCTCCAGCTGAGCCCAGCCCCAGCATGAGCTCCTTCGACCTCCCGGCGCCCTCCCCGCCCCGCTGCAGCCCCCAGTTCCCCAGCCTGGGCCAGGAGCCCCCCGAGATGAACCTCTACTACGAGAACTTCTTCCACCCGCAGGGCGTGCCCAGCCCGCAGCGGCCCCCCTCCTTCGAGGGCGGCGGCGAGTACGGGGCCACCCCCAACCCCTACCTGTGGCTCAACGGGCCTGCCATGACCCCGCCGCCCTACCTGCCGGGCGCCAACGCCAGCCCCTTCCTGCCCCAGGCCTACGGCATGCAGCGCCAGCTGCTGCCCGGCATGCCCGGGCTGGGGGGCAGCGACCTGGGCTGGCTGCCCATCCCCTCGCAGGAGGAGCTCATGAAGCTGGTGCGGCCCCCCTACTCCTACTCGGCGCTCATCGCCATGGCCATCCACGGGGCGCCCGACAAGCGCCTCACCCTGAGCCAGATCTACCAGTACGTGGCCGACAACTTCCCCTTCTACAACAAGAGCAAGGCCGGCTGGCAGAACTCCATCCGCCACAACCTGTCGCTCAACGACTGCTTCAAGAAGGTGCCCCGAGACGAGGACGACCCAGGTGAGGGCTGCCAGCGCCGGCAGGGAAGCTCCCTGCAGCCAGCTCCTGCGCCCTGAAGAAGGTGCCTTCGATCCTGCCCAAACCCCATTCTAGAAAGTTCTGAGGAGGGCTGCCGTGTCCCAGGGCTGGAGGGAGCTTAGCCGTGGAGGAGAATGTGGGCCAGAGGGCAGATTTAGGTTTCAGTGGATTCCAATTAGTGAGGCAGGGCAGGTTAGCTCTCTGAGCCTCAGTTTCCTCATCTGAAAAACAGGGACAGTGGCTGTGTCTCCCTTTGTGACTTGTCTTGTGGGTAATGAGATAAGGTAGGTAGAGTCTTTGATGTTAACAAATACTTAACTGGCTGCTGTGGTTAGGATGCATGGTGTCCCCAGCACCTGAGCTACGGAGCCTTTGGTGAATGGGCCTGGATCCTGCCGGCAGAGGCTCTGGCCTGTCTGAGCAACTGTGAATGGCCCCATGGTGCAGCCTCCCTCCCCACCCACAGACTCTCTTCTGACCCCACAACTCCCCTGCAGGGTAGCTCCTATTAAAGCCATTTTACAGATAAGGAAAATAACATTCAGAGCTGAGATAGCTTGCCTCCTCAGGTCACAGAGGATGAAGGGTGGTGCTGGACTTGATCTTGAAAGCAGGTCTGACAGCAGAGGCTGTGAATTTTGCTTTGTAAAGATGAAGCTCTACAAAATCCAGAGACTTGCAGAGCAATGTATTAAATCTTCACGGCTCCATTTCCCAAAATGAATGTCCACGTTGTTCCACCATAGGAAGCCAGGGTAGGGCTCAGACGAACCCCAGCTCTGCTCTCTTTGAAGTTAGCACTGGCCAGGTCTGTTTGTCCCTGCAGAAGAGGGCCAGTGTCCTATTCAAAGACCACCCCAACCCCCCCAGCAAAGGCACCACAGCAGGAGTAGTTCAGGCTGTCCCTCCAATGGCACTTCCTGGTTACAAGGCCCTTAACACACCTAGTGTCTGTCCTTCCCACGGTGAGCCTCAGGAAGTGGGGATAGGTCCAATATGCCCATTTGTCAGACTAGGAAACTGAGGTTCACACAAAGTTAGGAGCAAAGCCAGGACTCAAGTCTGTCTTCAGACTCCATGCCCACGACTCCCAGGGAGTCCTGAATTCTTCCTGAGTTTTCTTCAACTTCAGCCGTGGAAGCTCTTGACCACTATTCCACCTGCCCTCCCCACCCTCCCCAAGCCATGACCAACAGACTCTCCTGTAACCCCAGGGACACCCAGCACTCAGCCTCCCTTCCTAAGGGGAACTACCTGTAATGAACTTCATGCCCTGTGCCTCTGTTTCCTTATAGCCTGTCCCCCCCATCCCCCACCAAGCCTCACTGTGGCTGGGTGCTTTAAACAAAGATGGCGGGTGTGGGTAGGTGGCATGGGACATTCCTCCATATCTCAGTCCCAGGCTTTCCTTCTCTTCTTTCAGCATTTGCCACCCTTGTTTTTAGGAGCCATAGAAGGAATTCTGCCCATCTCCGGGTACCTACTCTCTCTCACTTTTGTTCCAGGCAAAGGAAATTACTGGACTCTGGACCCCAACTGTGAGAAGATGTTTGACAATGGAAATTTCCGCAGGAAAAGGAAGAGAAAATCCGATGTCTCCTCTAGCACAGGCTCCTTGACCTCAGAGAAAACCGAGAACACTCTCCTGGCGGGCAGCCCCACAACCACAGAGCCTCAGGACATTTTGGACAGAGCCTCACCGGGCACCACCAGCTCCCCAGGGAAGCAGTCCTCCCCTCCATCCTCAGTCACCCCGTGCCTCAGCAGCTTCCTCTCCACCATGACAGCCTGTGTGAGCAGCTCCAGCCCCATGGGCCGCCCTGTGGCCACGCCAGCACTGAGCCCCGAGCCCACCGACAAGATGGGGCAGAACTCACTGAGCTTCAACTCCTATACCCCACTGACCAACCTTGGTGGCCACGGGGGCGGGGGCGAGTGGGCCAACCCCATGCCCACCAACCCTCTGGGCTACGGCGGCTCAGTCCTCAACCAGTTCAGCCCTCACTTCTACAACAGCATCAACTCCAACAGCACCCTCTACCCCAGGGAGGGCACCGAGGTCTAGGTCAGAACAGCTCCTGGGCCTCATGGACATGCCAGAGAGAAACGCAGCCGAATCTTCCAGGCCAGCTCCCCTCCCCATGACATGACCCAAGACCTCTGATCTGGAAGCCCAGAGGAATGCAATGTTCTTTCTAGAACGTTGTTCAAACCTTCTGTTTATCACAATTGCGTCTATACACAGACTCACCAACTCTGCAATGGGGCCACCATTGCCTGGATGACAGTAATGATGATGGCCATCTGTTGGGCATATTGTGTGCTGGGTGCATGTTCTCGGAGAGTGAGGTCACACTATTTACAGTCATCCTGTGAGGTTCACATGAACCTCTCCCATTCAACAGATGAGGAAACTGAGGCTCAAGGAAATTATTTTACAAGGTCATACAAACTAGGAAATGGCAGGGCAAGAAGTGGAATCAAAGATTGGTCCAAAGGAGGCAGGGATGAAGGAACTGGTGGAGCAGCTAAGGAAATCAGTGAGAATCTGATTGTGGCAACTATACAAAATCTCCCCAGAGCCTTCTGGTTGCCCATCAAAATAAGCCCCAGCCCGGGCCTGACTCATCCTGGTCTGTCCTTATTCTGCTTGTCCCAATTTGTCTGCAAGACATTCTTTTGGCCACGACTCAAGGAGGGAACCCACCAGTGGATTTCAGGAAGCCCAGCCCAGGTGTCCCTAGAGGACAGTGTATCTAGCATTTACAGTACAGGTGTCTATCTCCCAGTCCCCAGGGCCCTTGAGCAGAGCCAGGGGTCAGCCACAAGAGTACCTGTACCTCCCACCCCAGTGCTGCCCACTTGCAAATTTTGTAAAGTCCAGCTTCCTGCGCGTGTGTGTCAGGGCCAGTGAGCTGAGGTGCTGAGTCTTCCGAGAGAAACGTGGCAGAGTAGGCATTTTCTCTTTATAGCCCAGGCGCCGGGGATGTCTGACTGAGAAAACTGTGACCTCAACGGAGGGGTCTTCCGTCTCCCTCACAGGGGGTCTTTTAAAGCAGCTCTTGTTTTTGTACCTACATTATATGCCTGTGATGTTTTATCACCCACACCTGGGAAGTGTTGTTTGGTTTTCTTTTTAATTAAAAGACAAACGGTGTGCAGAAGCGTGTGTGTGACCCTCCCTTGTGAGTTTTTCCCAAGTCTTTCTGCTACCCGACTGATTCAACACAGGACCTAGGATAGCCTGGGGCTGAAGGTGTTTGGGATAGGAGGCAGAGAAAAGATGGGATCCAGACTCTGCTTCCCTGGTTCAAGGCTAGATCAAGGTCCCTGACATAAAGGCAGGGTCTATGGGGGCGGGGTAGTGTATGGAAGGAACCTACCTGTGTTGAACACAGGTCTTTCCAGCTCATGCAAACCTCAAAACTTGGCTATAATCATCAGTAAGAGGGAGGAACTAGTCTCATTATACAGATGGAGAATCTGAGGTTCTGTGTGGTCCAGTGACTTGCCTGAAATGCTCATGTGACCCACGCCCAGGTCTCTGACTCCTGCACTTCACCATGCTTCACTGTAAGCCTGGGTGCGGCTGATGCCAGTAGCAGGAGGCCAGGGGCAGGTGCCAGGCCAAGGGCTAGCAGCCCATGAAGGTGTACCCCATGGTTCCCTGGGGTTCCTGGCACAATGCGCCCTGGAGTATGAGGTCATGACAGGAGCCCCTCATCAGTGTGCAGAGGGCTAGCCCTACAAGACCAGGGTAGCTGGGGCAGCTCTATTGCCTGGGGGTGACAATGAGCAAAGCAACAATGATGATAGTAAAAGCTCCTGTGATGGCTTCTCAGGTGCCAGGAGCTGATTAGGGCTTGACCTGCTTCATTGCATTTCATCCTCAAAATAGGCCAGTGCAATCAATGCCCTGAATTCTCCTTCATAGGAGAGGACACTGAGGCTGGGAGAGGTTCTGTAGCTTGATCAAAGACGCCGCAGGACGCAGCAGATCCTGGAGTACTGTGAGATGGAGAGTCCTGGACCCAGCACAGGACAGCAAACCATAAAAACCAAAAACATGGTGGGGGGAGGGGCACGTCTTAGGAACCCTGCCCCCACGCTTCCCTGAGGGGTCCCTTTCCACAGCGAGGTGGCTCCTGGCAGATGTGATGGCTGAGGGACCAACAGGGAAGGCACACTTTGTGTCAGACCAGGCAAAACCTTAGAAAGTCTGGAAGAGGCTGACTCCTCACTGCACAGAAAGGAAGCCTGAGGCTGGGAGGGAAGGGACTCCACAATGGGGTGATGGGGCCAGAGGCAGAGTTTCAATGCAGATCCTGAAGCCCTGACCAGGAATTTTTGTCACACTGGATCCCACTGCCACCAAATTTGTCCTAACAGACCCTAAGACCCACACGGGTCTCCACTGCTAATCTCACTGCCGGCTCTTTAATGGCACTCCTGTCCCCAGGCAGGTGCGCCCTGAGCAGCAAGGCAGTACAGGGGAGAGGGGCACAGGGCCCAAGGACAGCGCTACCCTGCAGGAAGGGACATGGCGATTTAGAATCAAGGTCTCCGTTCTTTGGCCCAGAATTTAATGTGCACAAGCAGTAAAAGGGAAATCTTCAGGGCTCTGGCAACACAAAGACTCTGTAGGCCCTGGCCGTGGCTGCACCTGGGAAGCCCCCGGTAGCAGCCCCAGGATCCACGGGAAGAGCAGGGTTAGAGGCACCCGGTGGGCAGAGAAGAAGGTGGGAACAGGCCCAGAGGGAGGTCCCTGGACAGCCTCAGTGGGCCCCGGCTAGCTGGGAGAGGGGAGGAGGCCCGGAGGCAGGCGTGCCAGGGGCTCAGTTCTCTTCCACATTGAGGAGGCCTGTGCAGTTTTGAGCTCCCACACTCTGGCCCTGCATCGAAGCCACAGCCCCCAGCATCAGTTGAGAAGCTGAGAAGAGGGCTTTGCTGTATGCTAGGGAGGCCAGGGAGCTTCGTGGAGGAGGGGAGAGGAGAGGAGGAGGGTAGAAGAGGACTGGGCGGACCACCCTCCCTGAATCAGAGGGCCTAACCTCCCAGTTTCCATGGAGGCTGGGGAAAGCAAGCCTCAAAACAGAATATAGAATGCACATTATAGAACATAGTAAATGTAATAATAATAATAATATAAAGTAAATAATAATTTACTTTAATAGGTAAATTTGCCAAGGGAAAAATTAGAATGTTCACAAAATATTAACAATCGTTTTCTGGTGGATGGTGGGATAAGAGATGATTTTTTTTTTTCTTTTTTTTTTTTTTTTTTGGGGGGGGGGAGGGCATTTGCTCATCTCCACAACAGCAGCATCTAACTTTCTTGAGCACTGATGGTAAACTAAGTACCTCTGTAGTTAATAATCATAACCACCACAGAGGTCAGGGATATCCTTATTTTCATTTGGTATGGAGGTGACTCATACTCAGAGAAGTTCAGAACTTTTCCAAGGTCACCTAGCTAGTAAGTATCCGAGGCAGAAGGTATGCCTGACTCCAAAGCTAATGCTCTTAGCCTCCATGCTAGGAGAGAAGCCTTGAACTAGCAGATAGGAGCCTATTTCCCCCTCAGGGACAGCCTCCGGGCTATCCTCCCTGCCTCCAGCCTCTCCCTCCCCACTGCAGAACTTCCTAAGTTGATAAAGTTGGCCTTGCCTCTGTTCTCCTTAGAGGCCTTCAGTGGTCCCATTCCTATAGGTTCTTGCTGATTTGCATGGCTTACAAACCCTCATTCTGTCTTCATCTTATAAGAACCCTCTCATCTGGCTTAACCTCAGGCTGGACCTGTACCTGCCCTTGGGAATCAATGTGAGCAGGCAGCCCCTCAAGAGACATCCTCTGTATTTGTGTCTCCTCATATTTTTCCATGGAGACTGCATTCTTTATATTGCCCCAAGAAATAATAAACTTTCATTTCACTTATTAATTCCAAAAGCCTCATTCCTTGACTCCACTTTTTGACATGGGAAATGTTTAAAACAGCTTCACGTTACTATTGATTCAAATAATATTAGTATTTATTGAAATGATTTTACCACAGTATAAAGTTGGAACATAATTAATATTGTCCTACAGCTTGAAATTGAGTTATTTAAGAAAGAGTGTCAAGTCTGTAGCAAAAGCTAATATCTGAAGTCATGATAAATGCATGATAAATTCATTTTCCATAAAATACATGCTGATGAATAATAGCAATAATATTGCTATTAAGCTATGAATATAGGCTTTAAATAATTTATATTTTCACAAGCTTTTGTAAAATTTTCTAACCAATTCTTCTTTCTACTCACAAATATTTTCACCACCATCAATTACAATAATACATCTTAGCAGATTCTGCTTCAGGTTGCATTGACTTAAATTTTCTCTCAAGTTTCTTTTTTTTTATTTGTTCTTATTACTTATACATAATAGTAGGATGTATTTTGACATATTATACATATATTAGGATTATAACTTCCCATTCTCCTGGTTGTACATGATGTGGAATTACATTATGTTATTCATATATGCACATAGGAAAGTAATGTTGGATTCATTCTATTATCTTTCCTATTCCAATTCCCCTCTCCTTTCCATTCATTTCCCTGTATCTAACCCAAATTACTTCTAATCTTCCCTACCCCATTCCCCGTATTGTGATTTAGCATCCACATATCAGAGGAAACATTTGGCCTTTGGTTCTTTGGGTTTGGCTTATTATGCTTAGCATGATAGTTTCCAGTTCCATCTATTTACCAGCAAATGGCATAATTTCATTTGTCTTCTATGGATGAGTAGTATAAGATTGTGTAAATGTATCAAATTTTCTTTATGCCCTGTTGAAGGGCACCTAGGCTGATTCCATCGTTTAGCTAAGGAGGCTGCATTCTTAGTATAATTTAAAAATATTTAAAACAAGACAGTGAAGGGGTGCTGAAAGAAGCCCTCCTTAGAGATCCTGAAAGTTTGGTACTTGTCTCCAATGCCAATCCAATAAGAAAGACACAGGTTGTTTGTTTTCTTTTGTTTGTACCAGGGGCACTTATCAATTGAGCCAAATCCTCAACCTTTTTTTGTGTTTTATTTAGAGACTGGGTCTTGCTTAGTTGCTGAAGCTGGCTTTAAACTCGAAATCCTGCCTCAGCCTCCTAAGCCTCTGGGATTACAGGCATGAGTCACCACACCTAGTTAGGAAAAATAAGTTTTATAGCTTTTCTAGCAAAGGAGAACAGGGGACTCCTGTCCCAGAGGTTGTGATTCTCCCATTAAGGGAGAGGTGATTCAAAGGCTGCATTCCACGCATTCTGTCTGGAGTTGTAATTTACTTGTTAATTTAGGAGAGAGTCACTTCTGAGATCTTCTGGTTCCATCCCCAAAATCTGGATTACTTCATTCCTGTGGTGGGTTTGTGCTCAAGGACAGATAACTCTGTCTAGGATGGGGAAAGAAAGGTCACCTATTTCCCCTGAGGTTAAGGATTGG